ATATGTCTATACCGCAGGTATGCAGGATTTTCTGAATGTATATCTTCTTGTCTTGTGACATATCTCTAGCATTCTACTGTAGTATCTGTAGAAGTTGTGATTCACCATTCCAGGGACGATCGTTTCAGGCTAGTCATAATAGTGTGAAGTCAATTGTCAAGTTATAATCTTTTTGGCGTTTGGAGAAACGTTGCTCAGGGTACTACACGTAAGCTAAGGCTAAAATAATGACTACGATAGACTTCTTAGTAAATATATTTAAAAGATGGGGCAACGTATACTCATAAAGCAAAAAAGTCTATTAATCGGCAGTTGACTTCTGACTTCAAACTACAATGGTCTTACTGTATTTCATGTACGACTAGTTCCCCAGTTCTCACCTCAACCTACCTCTTTCTCTATCCTTGTGTCTGTCTCTATTACATTTTTTGGAACACTCTTATGTTCCCCCCTATTTTCTCGACTTTTTTACTTTGATGCACCTCCTCCTCTCATTGAAGCCTGAAGTTAACTTAAGGGCTATTGGTAACTATCAAAACGCCTGCCATTTGATATAAATAAATAAACAAATATTTAGAAGATTATACTTTATTTGGAGAATCTTGCACAACGGAAAATCAAATAAAATATGTAACTAATTTGATATTTGAACTATTGAAGTTAAGTTGAGGCGATTTCGGTAAATTAATCGGTGGCTAATAATTAGAGGCAATATATTTCATCAGATAAAAGCTGCATTTAATTTATTTTACGAGCAAAAAGTGTTCCTTAAATATTTGCATTTCTTTTTCTACTTTTGCGAAATTGTGTTAAAGATTTAATTTAATTAATTGTAATTATTATAACAGGTCATTCAGTTGGCGCTAGATTGAATCAACCTGCAGGTTCTTTCTCACTTGCTTGCAGTCCATGGATTTTCCTAGCATAGATAAAGTTAGTTTAAATAATCTACTGTACAAGTATAGAATTGCGTTTCTCTCCCGGGTGCTTCATTGAAAGTCGATGTCGTTAAAATGGAATTTTCTAACCTTATTTTTGTTATAATCTCAAATAATGGGAAGCTCGGTGATATGGTAGGATTGTCTATTCTTTGTATATCGAATAGGTTCTCTATGAAGAACAAATCGTCAATCCTCCATTCCTCCCATTATCTAAGAAATCCAGTACTTATGAAAGTCGGATGCTTCTTGGCTGTGATAGGGTATGACTGGAATTCATCAAATTCAAATCTATTTCTTATCCTGTTAGGACGAGTCTCATCTTTTGGCTAAAAAGATTGCTACAGATTTAAAGACTAGCAAAAAAGTTATCGTCAGTTCAACCCTAACAAAACCAATTTCTTATTCTGATGCCACTGAAATTTGCAAAGCTCTAACAGTTTCTAGCGTTGTATGATATCCTCCCATTCAATGCTGTATATTCATCAAAAAAGTTGATTTACTTTATTAAATAAAGTCATTTGTACAAGTTTGTCATCGATCGTCTCCTCTCACCGGGTTGACCATTATATTACTTTCATTATTATCGCCAAATCAGTCTATGATTAGGTTGGATACGTTAACCTAAATTGGAATAATGATTACAACTGGGACTTAATCATTTAGTTGGGATGCTTGAAAATACCTTTTCTTCTGGGGAGTTGTTTACATCTACCTTTCCCTCCTGCGCATCCATCTACAAAAACAGATGAATTCAGAGATCAAATTTTTATCGAGTCTGCAAATAATTCGAGGCACGTACCTGCTGTCCATGCCCAGAACTCCCTTCTTCATCACTCATGTTTATATTTCGTTGAATATTATTCTCCACTTCAGTCAAACTTTCAAGTTTCGTCTCTTCATTTGTCTACAATGAAAAAAGCACAGTTAAAATTAGATCTATCTAGTTCGCATCCTAAATATACCTGCTTGTAATCCTCAGTCTTCTGATTGGCCTCGTCCAAGTTTTCATCAGCCGTCTGTTCAACTGCCTATTGGAAAAAACCCAGTGTGATAATATCTACTTATTTAATTTCAGTAAAATAAAATTAGTTTGGTTGCTTTTATACCGGCGCAGCAACAAATTCACTCTCAGTGTAACCATGTTCTTCTCCTTCAACTTGACATTCTTCGTAATATTCTTCATTTTCCTCAGTTTGTTGAAGTTCCTATGATAGTAAAAAATATAGCATGTATAATATTGCTACCTATAGGTGATCAATAACATTAAAAGATCCCCAAGTGTACACTTACCATTGCAGCCTTGTCTATCCAATCGAGAGTGCTATACCAATATTTTACCACATTATCATAAGTGTTCTACAATAAAAATAGATTTACAAGATGGTGGATCGTCTCCTTAATAAATTTAAATCCTGTCTACGCAATACTCCATTGAAACTACAAATATTTGACGCAATTGTGTTCTTTTCAACATAGAAGACCGACAGGAAAAGATATAAAGAATGATTAGTTTTGGAAGGCATACATTAAACACAACTGAGGCTACTGCTACATCTCTTCGTTTCTTCGCATCGACGAATTTCCAGTGATGAAAACCCGCAAAATTTATCCGTGTCTCATTGCAAATAGGAAGCTGATATTACGGCCATACAATAATCAATTCTCATTTCCAAACTAGAGGTTACAAATTCTGAACTGATCGGCGTATATCTGACTAGCTAAATAACGGGCCACAGGCCACTCAAAGGAGAACGGAATGGGTTTGGAACTAGTTTGCAGGAGTCATATTTTAAACAATCTATGTTCTGTAATATGGGGTGTGCAATAGACTTACCTCCACGTGATGCACCCTGGGCAACGTATACTCGTACGGCAAAAAAGTCTTTTAACTGCACCCTGGGGAACGTATACTCATACGGCAAAAAAGTCTAACACCCTGGGCAACGTATACTCATGCGACAAAAAAGTCTACACCCTGGGCAACGTATACTCGTACGGCAAAAAAGTCTATAAACGTCAAACTGCCATGATCCGACTGCATTTCATATTTGTTCACTTTCACCGAACTCACTTTGTCTTATTCTCTACCTGAATGTCTGTCTCTCACATTTGTGAATCACTCTTCTATTCCCCCTCTCCACTTCGATGTTCCCTCCCTCTGTAAAGCCCGTGAGGTTTACTATCATAGACCCTGCCATTTGATCCGAATAAGTAAATATTCTGTAAAATCCACAAAGTAAGAATAACAATGATAAATGAAGCCTGAGCCATATAAATAAGTCAGCCAAGGTAGAAGCAAATGATATCAATCTTAAAGATAGTTATTTACTAATTGATTTAACATTAAAACCGCACAGAAACTACTCAGCATGTTAATCCAGAAGGGATGTGCATAAGGAATCTAACATCAAGACACACTCGTCTATTTTCACTAAGAGAAATGAGAATTTTCCAGGAAAACTAATACAAGTATACATTAAATAGATTACATTAACTATGAATAAATAAAGAGCGCAAAATCGATCGATTGCCTTAGCGTACGCCATTGTGCTGTTTTGCTCACAATTCCGATTGCCTTGACTCGCGATTGACGGTTCCTCCTTTCCTAAAATCTGCCATTCCTTACTTTTTTACACACTTCGTTTTTCTACCATCCCTCCAACACACATCTACCAATCCCAACTATTAATCTTCTCAAACGTTGTCGTTTCCTATTAGTATTAAGGGGGCAACTAATTCTGAGGGTAGTTTGAGCGAAATACTGAAAGAGCATTACTTAGGGAATTAGACCTACTGCAAATACCTCATATTTGTGGATTCTCACTTCCAGATTCCTAACCTTGGACTTCATTCGATTCGACGTCGTAGAAGTTGTACTACCTCTTTCGCGTTTCGCTGGGATCTCAATCGCGGTTTTTGGCTCCATTTCGGTGCTGATTTTGAAGGTGCAAGTTCCTAGACGTTTTTGTCTCTTTCTGTTAATCTGTTTCTTTTAAAATAAAGGCAAAAATAAGCTGATATGCATCAATAGTCACCTGCCAAAAGCAGCATAACTTTTAAAGTATGAAGACAAATTTGCTCGTTTTAGCTTTAGAAATTGAGTCAAATGTGTGACATTATAGTGGGACATGCCTGGAATAGTTATATTTAACAAATTACCTCGCATGCGGGGACAGTATCAGATGAAAATGGACATTGGATATGTGTGACAGCAATCAATGATTTTAAACTATTGGCCAATGACTGCTTCGGAACTATCTATCCGTTCGGAACAAGGTTATATGAGATGAGATTGATGGTTCGGTAAACGTGATTTTAATTTAAAACGGGTAGACGTAAATAAATTGGAAACAGGGACGAGTATCCAACGCAAGGATCTTCACCACTGATTTTAATAAGAATTAAAAGAACAGAATTATAGTGGCCTACTACGATAATCTAGAGCTAGGCAAAAAGTGCAAGAAATTACAAGCAAACGAAATTAATTAGCAGTAAAAATTCCATCAGTGATGGAGGGAATTGTGGGTTTCAACGCATCAATTAGTCCTGTTTTTTCGTTTTAGGAAGCAGAATGTTCTTGCATGGATATTTAAGTTGGTTAAGAAGTCCACCTTATACCCGACAAGCAGTGTTCAACCACAAATTAACCACCCTTTCAACAAAAAATTATTCAAACACCAGGCGAGCAACCACAATGAAATAGCAAGACACGAAAGAAAATGTCAATAAATTTACCATTTTATCTTCTCTGAAAGTAATTTCTTTTGGATTACCCTCCTCGTCATAGATAACTCCATGAAATGCCGAATGAAATCCCCCCTGCACAAGTTCCATCTCATTCGTTATGCTTTCACCTTCCTCGGTCACCTCCTATAGAATGGAAACAAAATTATCGATCTCAATTATCTCAAGTATAAGATAACATATTAAAATAGAACTACAAGGGAGTCTGAAGTGAATTGCCTCCTTTTCCGTTTTCGCCTTTTACGTGGAGGATGCGAACATTCCGTAACCACAGAATCTTCATGGACTTCGAGTTCACTTGAATTCATAGTGACTTCCAGAGGTGGGTCAGTTTGTGAAGAGTCATTGACGTTGTCGATCGCCTTTTCCTCGAAAGTCTGCTCATGAGAAATTGTTTCTCCTGACATCTGGTAAATAGAAAGCATTACTCACACGGCTTAATATCGTTTCCATAAGCAGATTTAAGTACTAGCTAAACACAGCAAACAATCAAGAAATTGGGGATAAGTAGCGGTAACTTACTAAGTTAGTAAATAATCAATATTTTACTATTGATTATCGCAACTATGCCAATATTAATGAACTTTTAGGTCAGATGCTAAAAGCTAGACAACTATTTTACTTTGTGCCAAATTTCAAACCCATCAAAGTAAAGAACTCGTCAAAAAACAAGATCGTTTGAATAGCTATTCTAATTAATTGTGACAGAAAAGTTACTTTAGGGGGCCGACCAGATTAGGCTGGAAAACGCCCTAGCAGAATTAGATACCTCCCTCGACCCCGCAGCATTCCAAATAAGTATCCATCTATACGCTGCATGACATATGAAAGGCTATTGTCATTTTATAACGGATTTTAAAGATAAAAAAATTTACAACAAGGATGCAATTGGATAAACCATTATCCCAAGATGAGCATGAAGCCCAAAGAAAAATATGATTCGTCAATATTCTTAAAAGACTACAACCATAGGATAGACCATTACTTATCCAACTTCAACAGCACTTGCCACTAAGATGGTAGAAAGAAGACGCAGATGCATAAAGAGGACCAAGGGAACAGAACAACTCTGTCAAGTCAAAACTAATATGGGGTTGCAATAAAATTGACTACACAGCACTTCAAAACAAACGACACGAAGAGCAGAACATGTTTATGACCGATAAATTATATATACAACAAAAGTAGGTACAATGAGGGTGAGAGAAGAAGTATGAACAGCCTGAGTAGCAAAGATGTTAGTGTCTTTTTCTCGCATGAGGATGACCATTTGGAGGTCGGCGTCTGGCTGAAGCAAAGTTGGGAGGGGGGTACGTGGTATGTCCATGTGGTGGGGAGGGAAGTGTAGACACCTGTGACCCTGAACCAGAGTCAGCATCATCCTCATCAGCTCCAAGTGCTTCATCAATTTTACTATCAAGAAATTCGAGACGACCTTCGATTAGACCAATCATCTCTTCCAAGGGGATGAGGACTTCTTGATTGATAACTTCAAGATCTAAAAAATTAAGTACAACTTAAGAATTTGTTAATAGAAATGACTGAGGCTATTGCTTTATTAAACTAGTTAATCTAGAATTTTGACGAACTTTAGACAACCAGTAATTACAATAATCAAACTCACCTATACAAAAAGTGACTAGAAGCTGGGTTCAATATTACCAGTACATCAATTATTGGGTTCACACACTGGTATACTTGCAATACATCAAATCTATCATCCAAACTCCAACATAAATCACAGTTCCATCGTGTTAAGACCAACCAACCTACTTAGCATCATATTATACTATCCTACTTGCTCAACTTTCGGAAGAACGAAATGTACTTAAGAAGTAGTGATCATAACAACTAAAAAACCAGTCAGTTAGCAACGAGCCCGTTTAGTAACTTTGAAGGCGAATTAAATAAATGTTGGAACATGAACTAACCAGTGAATAAATATTGTACAACCCGAACCCAAGGAATAACATAAGACTCGAACTTCAGTATCACCATCTTTGTGAATATCCCACCCTCCCCCACTTCTCTTCCTCCCTTTTATGCTTAATTGGGCAAACTGGAAAGCGATGGTAACTCCTTTATTTCCTTTACAATGGCTTACAAAGGAGCTATACTTGCTTAATAAAGAGACTTGTACGAGCCTCCTGGAACTAAGGAGGTCGCTTTGAGTAGCTCAAAGTCAGACTGCGAACTCCCAGTTTAGCTACAAGATACAAACCTCCTGAGCAGCGTGGTGCAAAGCAAAACCAATATAAACAAAATAGCAAAAAATTGATTCTACGGATAAATACACAGAAATCGGAAAAAAATTCATTTCTAAGTAAAACAGTACACATATGGGATTTCAAAATCACTAGAATCCTGTAGCGGAGATTAGTAAACGCACTGGAATAGAATCGACTATTTCCAGTGCATCTGAGCTCCTCTGGCCAATATGAGCAATGGAAAACACATCCATTACTTTAGTTATTTTGAGTAAAAAGCACAACGAGTCTAAAAGCACAGCAAACTAAACCTAGGCTACACTGATTCTAAACACAGACATGAACATACCAAAGTCTTGAAGGAGCAATTTATAAAGAGAATCAGGACTTGGATGAGGAAAGTGGGAAGGGGGAAATGACCAACCCTGAGAAGCGGAAGGAGCATTTCGTATAGCAATGCTACCACTGGTAGAGGTCTCAGAAAAGCCTATTAGACCAGCGGCTGATTCAATTTCACCTGCAGCAACACTCGAGTTTGTTGCTCGGCGAGATGTGGCCTTCACTGGCGTGGTAAAGTATGGTGATATATTGCTTGGGCAAGTCATCGGGATGAATGTATCCATCGGTACGGCTTTCTGGAGATCAGCCTCTCTGCAAAAAAAACAAAAAGACGTCAGCACATAAAATTTACTACAATAAGCACTGTAAAGTAGAATGGATGACTCTTCGTAAGGCGGTGGTATAACGATAATGTATTGACATCAAATAACATTTGTACTGGATGCCGTTTACTTAATTCCTCTAGATGAGATAGTAAGCTCATAGTAAGGAGCCTACGTTACATGGGTGGTTACTTACCTTTACAATAGGGGGATAAAGGAGTAGGTATAGGGGTCACATTTATTACAAGATTCCTGAATTAAAATTTTCAATATTTCTCAAAGCCTTCATATGGGAGGTTTTAATACCCATTAAATTTGTAAAAACTTTACACTTTCTAGCTGTGAATCAACGCGGTCACACTATTGTGTGGTGTGATGTATAGTAAATTAGAAATCGCTTAGATAATAAGCTATCAATTATCTTTCTTCAGACTTACTATTAATAATAGATTTTGCAAAAGTTCATGCATCACGAGTAGGGTAAACTCTAGCGAGATTCGCTATGTTGAATAAAGTAAGCTACAACCCGTTTTCATAGGATATGGCAACAAATCTTATGTAACTCTAAAGGTAAGGGTAGTTAAACCAAACTCACAATGAAAGGCAAACTTACATTGCAGTAGTTGTGGGAGGAGTTGTAATAACAGTACCAGTGCTACCCGCTGTGGGGGAAGTTGCATTTCCTGTTTCAACTGGAGTCATTGACTGAAAAATGCTATTAATCAGGTTTTTGGTTGGGGTGTCGAAAGCAGAGCTGGCATTGCTAGCAGGATTAGAAGACAAGACACCATGTTGTGATTGAAAGGATGATGGTTGGACAACATTGAGAAGGTCATCTGTGATTGTTAAATCAGGTAAATTGGTTGGAATGTTGGCAAGGAGACGGGAAATATCCGGTGAGTCTAGGGCTAAAAATGCGGCAAAAGTCAGATTATCTGCGGTGCTAGCGAACGAATTGAACCAGCGAATATACATAGCGTTCTCTAGGGGGTAGGGGTGCTGTTTAACAGCCTTTTATCATCAGGCTGAAGAGCAAGCTTTGGTACTTGCTTACCGCTCTTGAAAATGTGAGGTAGTACACGCCTCAACTTCTCAATCTCTTAGAAAGAAATGCTTTAATTTAAATATAACGGATCAATTAAATTGAGAACATTGGATGGTAAGAGAAAGGGTGAAAATTTTGACTGGTAAAACCTTTCTGTTTTTTGTATTTTTGCGATTAAAGTCTGGGATTCTAAAATGTCTAAAACGAACTGATTTTACCACCAATGTGAAAAAATAGACACCAACCAGTCTTAGAAAATATCGCCATTCAAGCGATATACTTCCTTAAGCTATCATATGAAGCAGAACCGTTCTACGAACAGTGGATATAACTGTAAATTTTCATTAAAAAAAGTTACACATTTTTACCAAACTAAGCTTCATCTGAAGTTACCAGAAAATACCTCCTGAAATGCTCTTCTTCAAACTATAAACTTTGAAAAAATATCCCAATGGCAAACCACCCTCAATTGTTAATAAGCGGATTGAATAGAAGTGTAACGTGGATCTAAATATAAACTTACCATAGAAATAATTTATATATAAATGATACTATATATTTATAAGCTCGAACGCTGTGAGACGGTTAATGATACAACAACGTTCAAATCGATAGGCATGGCCTTGCCGATCCAGCCAAATGTTTTGGAATCATCCACGAATTAATTATGACAAGAATTAAGATAAATGTATGTAGCAAGATAACATTAAGGGAAATTTTGAAGAGAATAATCCATTAATATGCACGAGAAGGAATGTAAAAATCGAATCCAAAATCTATCAAAGTTGGAGGAAAATTGAAACAGACACAAATCCACTTTATAGAATTCTATAAATATAAATTTATTGTTTAAAATTATTAATTTCCACTACACTGAGACAAAATGTTAAACAAAAGCATACAATCAAATGCTTCAAAAGGACAAAAACAATAAAACTCATATCAAATACGACCCAAAGAGCCCAATTAACCATATCATAGAGAAGAGTTAACTTACTACCAAATTGCTCATCAGTGTGGGAACCAGAGCACAACAAATCAATAGATAACTCCGAGTCAACTGAACGGTTTTGAGATAATTGTGTATTAACCGCTGCATCACTACCATTAGCAGTATTTTGGCGTTTAATTCTCAAAACAGCACGCCTTCCTGAATTCACTAAGAGCTTGAGCTTTTTCAACCAAGTTAAAAGGCCATCAATCTCTTTAGAGATTCCGTCGAGATCGACATCCTCAGGTCTGGTCGGTCCAGATGCTCGGAAATTCTCCGAATCATTTGCCCAATCAGTTAAACCAGATGCAGACGGTTCGCGTCTGCAGAATGTGCAAATCCAAGACTAAAAATATAAACATTAAGAAGGAGGTCCAACAACTTACTGGTTCATTAAAACACTCGGCACATTTCCTATGTGACCAGACAAGGCAAACTCTGCACTGGATTATATTAGCTTCTGGTTCAACCACTGAACCAGAAGTTTTACAATTCTTACAGAACATGAGGCATTCCTTAAGATTACCCTCTGAAATAGGCGGCCTAAAATGAAAGAAACAATGAACAATTTAAAATTCACAAACGTTTCGGATGTCGATTCAGGCTCCTGTTTGCGTTTTTTTGTTGAAGAAGTAGTAGCTTCAGTGTGTGGAGGGTCAGATTTGATTTTGTCACTGTGGTAATGGTAAATATGAGACTCCAATAAATCCTGTTTACGCAATGTGCGAGGACAATATTGACATTGAAAAGATTGAGGTGGTGCCTTAGCAATAGGTGTAGGGACGATTGGTTTGGCAGAGGTAATAGGCTTTTTATTTGCAGTTGGAGTAACAAGAGGTTTATTCACAATAGAGGCGGGTTTACGAATTGGAGTCTGTTTTAACTTAGAAGAAGCTGCACCATCAATTTGGACAGATTTTTGAGCCTGTACATCAACTTGAGCGGAGTCTAAGTCGCTAGAGAGTGATCGCCTCTGACGTTCACGTCTCTTCCGACAAGCCTCCTGGAATTGTGTATGATTCGGATCATAAATCATGTCATCCTCATCAGCAGCAGTTTGAAGTTCTACTGGAAATTTCTTCTGAGAATCTTTTGAAGCAGATTTAATTTGCTTGATTTCTTCAAGGATTTCCTTTACTTGCTCGTCAGTCGCAAGCTTTAAATTGGATGCACTATGCCATTCGGCAATGTCGTCCCAGATAAAGACAATGTGAAACATCAAGTCACCTTCTAAGTTTTTACGGTAGTCAAGAACTTGAGCAAGATAGTCAACGTTGTTTTTCCACTTTGCCATAACATATTTGCCCTTTTTGAATATCGTCTCAGGAGACTTTTCCTTTTCAATCTTCGTCGAACCTCTGGTTCTAATTTGACCTTCCATTGCACATAACTAAATTAAGTTTGTTAAATAAAAAAGGGTACAAATATAACACCATTACAATTAGACCCAACCCACTACGCACCCCAGGAATGCTCAAAGGTACGATAACTCGAGATTAGCACTCCACTTTCAGGATAATTTAAACAAAAATGATAGTGGTAATTGAATATGATGTACCATTGCATAAAGATAAATAATATATTTTTAAAAATTGGTATTTTGTGAATTTTGGCTCATAAAATAATTATTATTATATTATAACAAATTTGTCATTGCTTCATTTTCATATGGCTTTTTCAAAAAAGAAAATATATTATTTGCATCTCCGATTAAGTTAAACGGTAAATATAATATACCCTACGGTAACTTGAATTGACTATGAAAAAATATATTCTATTTTTACTTTGCAAGAGATGAATTTTGTCTCGAAAGATAATCCATTTTACTATCATTTCTTACATTTCACTCTCCTTATAATGCCTTTTCAAATACTGATTAATTGCTTTTACATATTTAAAAATAGACTTTGCATTTTCGTGACACGAGTGCTTAAACAATGGATGGTTTTAACTTTATGTTTTTTTTAGCTACAAAATAATATCTAGGTATGGATATACACTTTTTTGGGTTTGAAATTACCTACCCATATTAATAGACAATCGCTTTCGAATAGCTTTGATTATTTTCTCTTGCTTTATCTTCATTATAAAGGCGAGAAGCAAATCTTTTAAGTCCTCGAGAAAACAGAGGACGAAACCAATTTATATCTAAACCAAATCTAAATGCAAAATGCTCTGTCGCTTTCAACAATTTTCATGTATTTCAAATTTCACAATAAGAGCTCATTTAACGATCAAGTCCAATGGAGTTCGCTGTGTTTTTTCATTAAGGAAATGTGTTTACATTCAATGTATTAATAATATAAATAAAAGTAGATTACTGATAAATGTACTTTCATAAAAATTAAATAATGTGCTAAATTAATATCCAAGAAAATGTGAAAGTCTGATTGATAAAATAAATAGGGAACCTTATTTCAGTTTTCTCAGAGGCAAAAAACATGTTTCAGCTTTTAATAAAAAATTGCTTCCCGTTTGCAAATAGTCAAAGGGTAAAGAAATTAGACATAAATCAGTTCTACAGTAAGGATTTAATATGAACAATACAAAGAAATTTAGGAAGGGTTGAAACTACAACGATTTTCTTTGTGAAAGCTAATATGACCCTATGTCAAATAAACCACATTTTCCAAATAAAAACGATTATTCAGTAGCAAAGACGTTTTATTAAAATAGGAGAACAAGTGAAGTAAATTAAATTTATCAATATAATATATTTATTTTAATTAGAATTTATATCCTTAAAGATTTGTTTGTAATATTGCATGAGATGCCACCGTTTTCGTAGAGTAATTATGGGTGATGAGAACAGCTTATTTTCACAGTTTTATTCGGAAGTTAAAGTTATTGAGAAGAGGGACTCGACGCTTACACCAAAGCAGCAGATTGACAGGCTTAACAGACCAGGATGTACATATTTTAATCTCAATCCGTTCGATGTGAGTTCGTTTTGCTTGTTTTTATGTTACAATTGATGTTAGGTCCTACAAATTGACCCCGATGTGAAAATGTCAGATATTAAGTCACGATATCGTCAAATGTCATTACTTGTGCATCCAGATAAAAATCAAGATGATGCCGAAAGAGCCCAGAAAGCGTTCGATGGTAATGTAATTTTTTCTTCCTAACTATTATTTTCAGCCGTCACAAAGGCTTTCAAGTGTCTCGATGATAACGCAAGCTATCGTAAGTGTTTAGAAGTTGTTCAAGAGGCTAAAGATCGCGTGGCCAAGATGGTTTCAGAGAAGCGAATCAAATCTAAGGGTCAGCCCATAGATGAAGATGATGCGGCCAAGTATCGACATGCTGTTTATGTCCAAACCTGCAAGTTATTTGCAGATTTGGAACGCTTACGAGTCGATGAAGAGACAAAACAGCAAAACGAAAGGTTTTTTGCTTAATTATGTGTTTTTTGTTTTATTTCAATTTAATTAACTCTTGTAATGTGCACATTTTTAGAAAGAGAAAGGCGGAAGAAGAGGAAATTCATCGTTTCCGTGTTCAGTATGACAGGGAATGGCGCGATAACTACGAAGTGAGCCCTTTTTCATATGTATATTTTTTCCCTTTTTTCTTTGGAAGTCTTATTGTGTCGATTGATTTTCACATGAATACACATTATTTGTTCTGTATTTAACATTCTTTAATATTTAAATTTCTATAGATCTTTAATAAGTTAGTTTAAATTCATGCTTACCACACCAATTCATTTTACATCCTCTATTCCGTCTTCAATGTGAATGCTTATATAATTGAGTTATTGTCATTTTTTGATCAATTTTTGTCAATTAAATTCAACTGACCAGATTGGGTTCTAATGAGGATTTCTGTATTGGTAGGTTCTTGTATTTAGCTAACGTCAGCCTTCTCGGTTCTCAAGCAAAATTTAGAAATAGGGAATCCAGAAGGCTACGTGAAAGTACTTTATTACGAATTTCTAAAGCGCAAATGTTATCGAAGTAGGTTGGTATTTATCGGCTCTACTTTGTAAACCAATTTGAATTTGAAAGCGTTCAAACTGACCAAATAGTGCGGTTATTGCAGTCTTCACGATAAATTCTTCAGCTTTAGGAATCTGATTATAAACACGAGCAAGACGGATTGAGTGTAAAGCCCTACATGTTAGGTATGTGGTGATTTTCTGAAATTGCAATCGAATTGAGTACACAAGTTGCTTTTCAATAGATCTCTTAGCGATCATATTTATTTATATCAAATGGCAGGCGTTTTTATGGTTATCATTAGCCCCTTAGCTGACTTCAGGCTTTACAGAGGGGAAGGTACATCAAAGTGGAAAAAGTGGAGAGGGGGGGGGAACAGAAGTGTTTCAAAGACGAAGGTAGAAAATTTAGAAAAAAATGTGATGTGAGTACTGTGGAAGTAATCGAATATGATATACAATGGGGTCAGAAGTCAACTGCCGGTTTATAGCCTATTTTTGCCGTATGAGTAAACGTTGACCAGGTTGCACCACATGGAGGTAAGCCAATCGCACACCCCATAAGGAGAAGAGGAGACAAATTAATGGAAGAATGTTGATTATTGTCAGGATTAATTTCTTGCTGAAAGTTGTGCTTGGCGATCTTGTATTGAGAGGGATAAGGACATGTATTCCATTATGGCATTGGAGTTTACCACTGGGCGATTTATGGGTAGGCCACAGTGGATAGGGCTGACAAGGTCAGTGAATTTTTAAGGATAGTGTACACTTCGGGTGAATATTTATTTGACTTTAAGCAATTTTTTTCTCACTGACTTCGAGAAGGAGATCTAAAGACAGGCTGAATCCACATCACTAATTGTTTTGTAGGCATCAGCAATTGCATAAGTCCACCGTAAATTTCTTCGCAATCAGATAACCATGGTAGCAGATTTCTGACTGTATATCTTAATTGCTATTCATTGTCAGCCACTTGCTTAAAGTTCATATCTGAATAAGTTGGACCTTTGCGCAATCGACCAAGACAGATACCGGAGTTCTCAAATTGGAAGAAAATGTGATTACCTTAATGCCCACCAACAGTTCATTTCCCGACTTCTCTAAAATCTGTGATGGTCAGTGACATGCCATGTCTTGGTGACACCAGCACATGTTATTTCGTAGTATGACGTCTTGAATGTGAACGTCTGCATATGGAACAGGCCATTACTTGGTCGTGCTTTGTGGTTAGATTGCCAGTTTTTTTTCAGTCTCAGCATTCACTCCTGTGCTGCTGTTGGTTCGATTTTGTTGGTTTGGCTTAAAGGTATGACTAGTCTTTTCGATTCCTTGAGGGTCAGCGCTTTCAGTCTTCTTTTCTGGTATTTCTGTTGCTGTTTCTATTAGCTTTTTTTGGTGAGCATTTGCCAAGATAATAAGTCTGACATCAGACTATTGTCAGTGATCAACCAATGGAAACTAAAAGACACAATTCATGTCTTTGTTAACTGATTTATGTACTATTTTATTGTTTTTTAGGAAAGTCGAAAGGATCGAATCAAAAGTTGGCGTGCATTCACCGCAAAGAAGGCGAAAAAGGGCGAAAGTCTCGGTGGTTTCAAGCCGCCTAAACCCAAAATGGAAACAAGAAAATGAAAATACCCTTTGTTAGCTCAAATTTTTCATCTCTTATTATATTCCCTCTTCTATGTAAATACACTTGTTGGCTATTTGGGCTCTTTTTTCAAAAATGTTCATCTGTTGATTTTGGGGTTTTTTATTGGTTGGGTTGGATCATGCACGATGGCTGAGCTTTCATAATTTCACTAATAGTGTTTACCACTACCACAGAGTACGTTGGATGCGTGCAGCTAGAATGCACTAGCCATTGAATAGAATTCCCCACCTGCATGCCATAAACTCAAGGACAAGAGCTGTAGCTTAGTCCTCGCTTTGAAAATTGTAAAGAAATTTGGTTTGTTGCGATGCTTGTCGAAGATTGGCCAATTCTCATTTAGCCTCGAAATGTGTGAGTGGAGGGCAGTTACTGAAATACTACTGATGTGGTCTGATAAGTAAAGTCATCATAAATGTGTAACTACGTAAGGTCCTTAATTGTTACTTCCTCCCTAGCGACCTTCTATTTCACCACTAGGTTGATCGAAAGAAAACGCGTTTTATTTGCCGTTGTAACAAGTTTATTTAGTAATGAAAGCCTCTAAAGTAATAATGTCACCATCTTTGACTTACATTCAGTCTCATTCATCATTACAAAAAATGCAAATGCATGACTGCACGTTGAAAACTAATCAGTAGTATGTATGCATATTTATGTGCATCACAGCACATTGTTGTTACCAATAAAGATGTTCATACACTCACGAAAAAAGTGCCAGAGATTATAGAAAAAGAAAATGCAGATACAGAGATTAAAAAATAAATGATGTGGTCGAGCTTAAGAGGGATTATTCGAAACGGGTAAATGCAACTCCTTAGCGAGATCTTTATCCCAGGACACGACACGGCACTCCTTAAAATCATATTCGCCTGCTATAAAGTACCGAGGAATATCTTCGTCGTTAGACTCTTCGCTCGAAGAGCCTCTGTCACTATTATCACTATCATCCAGGATCGTCAGACGTCTTCGTTTTTTTGTGCTTGCACTAGTTGATCCGGTTTTACTAGAAGATAAAGCAGTGCTGATTTTTCGACGCTTTCGTCTTGCTGTTGCTGCAAGGAATTCAGAGTATGAGTTCGCTACTCGAACTGGACCGCTAATGCAGCATGCTTCGTTGTCATCAAAGTGGTTGGAAACGAAGACAGCGCCTTCATGGTTTGCCACAATTTTGCCTGCTTTACCCATCTCACCAGGGGTATATAACCTGAAAGAAAGAAATGAATAGAAAGCAAATCGTATCTTGAAAACGCCCCTTAAAATGCTACAAAATTAAAGGAAAAAAACAAGCGCTAACATCGACCCAGAACCCTCATTCAAACTCATTGGAATTGTAACCGAATAATTTTTGGGGCCCTGAACAGAATTCGCTACTCTGGAATCAGAACTTTCTTATAATGCTCTAGGTACTCGTAAGTCCACTTCTACTTCTAAGTTGAATGTTAACCGGCATACTTTCTGCGTGCAGTGACGAATACCGAAACAAGTGAAAAACTTGAACCCGAAATATAGTCACGAAGGGTTTCATGCTTCTTTAAATAGAAGTAGTCACCATAGCAATATGGTTCTTCTTATCGTACCTATTCTCCTTAGTGCTTCCTGTTCCATTTTGATATCGTTAATTTACGAGTGAAAATATTCATATTCGTTCAATTTTGCCATGTTCTTGAATAACTACTTAATTTAATTACAACCCCAACAAATAACGTTTTTTCTGTTATTATGCAAATCATAACTGAGTTACAACAAATGCGCTCTGTATAAAAAAAGCTTTGATTATCTCCACTAACTACTCTTAGACGTAATAATTCAACTGGTCCACAATCTCTGTATACGCTAAATCATCCGTGAACTTTGGAGTTAAACCATGAATTTCGATCAACGTGACATAAAGCACTAGCAATAATTCATGCGAGAATATAGACGACCCAGTGGTTTAACACTTCAAAACGTTAGTAAGCACCCGGTCCTCAGTTTTAGTAACATACTTCTTACTTGACATGCTCTTTCGCTTATTCAAAAGCTTTTCTTTGAATAATGCTTGCAAAGTTTATTTTTTCGCATTATCATGGGTATAAATGCTATAAATAACGTACCAGTGAGCAGTTACTTTGAAAATATTTCTTTTTGTTGAGTAAATCTTATTTATCCTCCCAAGATAGATCTCAGAGCTATGAGCTGTCATAAAAGTCACCGTATCATTTAATCTAACGACAAGATTGTCGACATTGCGTTGAAATGCCTTGTAGCAAGCCATTCCTTTGGAACGGGTTTCAAGTGGCTAAATGAGGACAAGAAGAAAGGAATCAGCAATAATGAAAAGAACAAGCAGGTTTGATTAGTCATGCCAACCTCTCCAATCGATGTCCAAACAACCTTTGGATTTGACGATTTGATTGGCACATTGATATCAGCTAAAATTGATAATAACTTACTCTTTTAGTATGTTACTTATATTTAATGAGTAAAAACTATTCTTTAATTTACGTTTATCGCCGCTTCCACCACTGGGCATTAGATGAGTCATTTCGGTCCTTCCTGCAACACTTCCGATTTTGGAATTTCTACCGAAACTTGAAGCAGAAAAGTTTGAGATGGAATCTGATGGCATAAAGGGGCTTCGCAAACGTCGTCTTCCACTTGGAAGTGGGCATGGTCCTTTAGGATTTTTGTAATCATTGGGAAGAAGGAGAATGTTCTTGAAGGGCACTAGCGCCCTATCGCCATCATCAAATTGGATTGGAAATGTGATTTCATCATTATTATTCGACTTTATAGGTGGAGCTAAAGCAAGAAGTAAGGCAATTACCTACAAAATAATCGCTTTTTAAGTTTTTTTGAGTGATTTCGCGCATAAAGATAGTTTATTCTGAGACGTTATCATTAATTTAATGAATTTTGGAGGTTTCTCTAGGGGGCAAACGAAAATCGATCAGCATCCAAATATAATTGGCGTGACACAATTTGAATTTTCTATTTCTGCCCTGTTTCCTTTCCTTCAGTCGTGATGTTTTTTCTTCTTAGCTCTTTCGATTCTCAAATCCTTTTCCTGCTTTTACCAATCTCTCAAACTTTATATCTGCGAATAATACACTAATGATCCAGCTCAACTCTCGATCTTATCTTGCATTTCAAAGCCAAAGTTGGTCAGGCTCCGAGAATAGTTCTAGTGATGGGTTTAAGGGTCTGCATAATACCAATTTCCATTAATGTGATTATGTCTTTTTCCTGTAGTCACGCAGATCATAAATGAATATAATGGCTACGACCAACTCATGCAGAATACATCTAAAGTCCTAACATATCATTGGTTTACTGTGTTGATCTACTTACTGGAAAGCACTTACTTGTCTTCAATAACTTAGTAACAAAGTGCCAATGTGCTTAATAGGATTAAGGTCAGTCACGTCCATAATAATGCACTATTCTAGATTCGATTCCCCATGGAATCCCACTTTTATGGACGCTTATTAGTGAGGGATATCAACTATAGCAAATAAAGGTGGTAATACATGATCTTTTCGGTCATGCACACAGTTTCGTCAGCAAATCAGTTGTGCAGTGGACAGGTGCTACCAAGTCTATACTTAGAAAAATATATACCATGGAAATTATGGAAACACAATATGTGCCCACAAGTCAGAAACATTTTATCTCAGCATTATTTATTACACCCACAACAAATAGGCATATCAGAGGTCATAGGCCCACTTCGCATCGCACACAACCGGTGAGCGGAATGACCAACAGCACAGCCTAAATCAAGGTGACATAGAGGGTCACAAAAGTTGAGTTTCACTCTTCCCCCCACTTTATTAGTCAAAGACAAGCGTTGGAAAACCATTTCTAATAGGAACTTGGGAATTAGGGCAAGATTAATACTATGGGCCATTGATTTGGTTTAAGTATCAGAGAGAAGAACTCACAATCAGTAATTCGTCCAGGAAAGTAGACATTGCCAAGTGTGGCACTCCAAATAGCACAGACACGAGTTCCAGGGACAAGGTGGTCGGGAGATTTGGGGATTACATACAAGACGGCCTTTTGAAGAAGTGCCCAGGCCTGAAAATCCTCTTCGGTGCATCGCCGACGCTTTGATTCATCGGAATCATCCAAGGGACTTAGATGGATACGCCAGATACGGCTGTAGGGATTGTTTATACTGGTGATTGAAGATGAAGTGGAATCGTTTTCTTGATTTTGTTCTGTGTCTACGAAAGTAAAGGAAAAATGTAATTTAATTCTTTAACTACTAATATATGAAATAAATATTACTGAATGTAGCACCACTAATGACTATTAATTGGCCATGGAATTTAAACAAATTAACAAATGAGAATTTAATTTTTCAATGCTTAAGCTCATTGAAAGCTTTAGATCTTCCACACCACATCATCAAGTACTTAAAGGGATACACTATCTATTGACATAGAAATAATCGGCTAAAATGTACAAATACGAAAATGCAGATGAAATTTCTTATATCGACGTGATTTACCCACAATTCAGTCCTCAAAGCTAAGCTCCAACAGAACATAGCGCTCTTAAAGATCTCAAGGTAAAATCGTAATAAAAAAGGTACCCCTGAGACCTGATTATATTTTTTTACTATTCTGACCCTATTTCAAAACAATCTCATCATGCTTTATTTCCATTCTGTTTCATGCCTAGCATCTTGCATCCCCTGGGCAAATCACTTTATTGATTAAATTAACACTGCACACACACTGGTTATTGCTATTGAGGAGTTAGTATTAACTGAGCATTGTTAGGTATACAATGTCCTTGACTGAATCAGAGTGGCAACGCCATTCGTTCAATTAGGTCAACAAGCTTAATACAACCTGGAAATGAAACCAGGACTCTTAGATTTCACCATTGAAACATTTTGCATCTCTACAGAAAGGATCTTAAAACGAAATAAATTTAGCAGTCTACTCAGTGAAATACACCTAATTATGTGAGGGTAGACTTTTTTCAGATCATTTCATAAAATAAACACACTTTGAGAGAGTGCCAGGAAATAAAGTTGTAACTAAGTTCAATTGGTGTTATGTGCTAGTTCTGAAAGTGACATTTTTATAAGCTAAAAATGTAAAAAAAATTTTCACAAGTTTTTACGCGAATGAAAACCTTGTTAGACGGAACAAAGAAAAATTGCTCACAAAAACAAGATTTGTTTTTTTTTGCACACAGAGACGCGTATTAAGACTAGGGGGCATATGTGCCGGAATCAGTACAAGTGCGAAATTATCGACTGATCCAAGATCCGAAAACAATGGCTTAGCAATGAAATTGCTACCGAAATCAATACTTTTTTATCTTAAAAGGTGAGTAGTGAGACCAGTGCAAATCTTCATAGCGTTTTACCATAAAAGACTCATGTCTTACTTTTTTAATTATTCATGGGGAAAGTTAAAAATGCAATTTTCAAGATTGAAACCGAATGAACGTGCAATTAAAAGTCACACGTGGATGAAATATGATCCCTTTTTACGGTTCAATGCACATAATGGATATATTATAGTGATGACTACTGACCAATGGAGGAATAGAAAATAAGTTGCTATAAATCATGCATATATATATATCGTCTCTTTCTCTGGATAGATAATCACGGATATCCTTGATATAAATAACTGGACTAACGATAAAAAGATAATCGGGCCAATAGAGTATATGTAAAGAGTTTGTTCACTTAAATTTTCATGCACAAATGTGTGAGTAACAGAAAGGAAATTACTTGTTTTGATTTAATTTCAAATAATGGAAAAATCAATAATAAACGAAACATGGTGCAACTCTAAAGGTCTCGAACAAACCGAACCATCATGTTCATTGCAATCACTTACGCCGGACCCGTCAAGGTGCTTTACTCGTCACCTAAAGTGGAGTGAAGGCGACTTTGGACTTTCTCCTCATTGGGTCCTGAAGGAAGTGAATATACCCCCTCCCCCAACCCCACCTTCCCACTATAAAGCACACCACTCCGCCCCCCAACATCTGCATGCAACACTACTTCCACACTCTTTTGCTCCCTTGAACATTCTTTTTATGGCTAATAACACTTGGATTCCCGATCAACCTCAGCAAACTAGAGGCTGTGAATACGACTTTAACCGAATTAGAGTAACGCCTTACTCATGGGTAGACTTTCTGAACAGTATCTGACAATGGACAGATGGATCTTCACGTTCAATGCGCTAATCACACCCCCGAGATTCCTATTTGTGCTCAATAAACATCTTCATCCCAATTTCTATCTTCTTTCTCAATCTTGATGAGTAGTGCAGATCGAAAGAACTTGAAAAGTTGATAGCTCCCTAGGTAGCTAAGCTATCACGTAGTTGCTCCTTCCTTAAGGCTTTTCAAAGAGTAACAAAATGATATTTTGGAAAATGCAATTTTACGCAAAGTATCAACACATTGTTTAAGAGAGAACCAGATTTTGAAAGTAGTTCGTATCTTTGGCATTCTGAAACAGGAGGATAAAATAGGAGGAAGTGAGCTGTTGATCGAGAAAGAGGGGAATAAGAGTACAAAATTAGGAGATAAATATGCGAGGTGGTGGTGACAAAATTTTTGCCAGGCTTAGACTCCATGGCCAGATGTGGAGCGTAAATCAAATTAGTCAACTGAAGCATGCGATTAGATTTCAAGGGGAAATGCGTGGTCTGGGTTCAACTGACACAAGTATAATCCCGCGGAAATCAGACGAAATTGAACGAAAAGTCAACAAATATGCTTATTGTTGTTTAAGTGTCTTCAACTAAACGCCCTCAAAATCACAATGAATGATGTTTAAAGGCAAAAGAGGCTCTAACATGATAAATGGATAAGTCTTGGTTTCAAAACTGAGGACCATTAATTCGTCTTTAGCCCACTCAATAAGTGGCGTATTAATAACTGCGCACACCATGTCTGAATCACATCTCGAAGTTAGTCTTCTGCTTAGATGGATAAAATAATAATGAAATTTATATTTTAATTCGGATTACTGCACTGCGAAAAGCAAACATCTTCACTAATGAAAACGATGTCGTAACTATAAGGAATCAGACCACAGTTTCAAAGCCATCAATCATATGACTGGAGGGATTCGCTCTCGCCTATTGACATGGAATTAATTCATGATTGTTGTCATGTTTATTCATTTCAATAACTAGTTCATCAACGATGGCAATAATGCTTTCAATTCCTCAGTTATTAACTCAAAAACATAAAAAATACTTTTTAGCGAAAGTTATTCGTTATACTACCCTTCCAGTATTACTTCCATGGTTTATTTACCGTTATTCAAAGTATAAAAATAAAGAACTTACAGGTAAAGACAGTTGCCTTCCGAAGCCTATTGTCCTCAACCACTAGAATTTGAAGTTTATCACAAAGATCGCTGAGCATTAGAAACTTGCCCTGGGGCTGTAGATCCGTTGAGATCGGAGAAGGAGAAAGTGTGTTCTGACGTGTTGCACCATCTACCTCGTCACTATTCTCAGTAACCCTCTCCATAGGACCTTGGACCAATGATCTCTCTTTTTCTGGATTCGTAGTTTGTAGAATTATAGGCAACTCATTTTCCTGCTGAAGTAAAAATGTTGGCAACAGTTGAATAGAAAAGACGTAATGTAGCTCTGTTTAAATAAACAACATGGAGGAATATAGTGTTTGAATATGTTTAGCTTGAAACATTCAACCGTCAATCTACTTCGTTTGAAAACAATGAAATTTCATGACAAAGTGATTAAGCTCACAATCAAAACGAGTGTATTGTATTTCATGATGATTCCCACAGCAGGCCAAAATAATCTTACAACCCTTCACAATTTTATACCAACAGAAGTCGATTTACGATCAACACAATAAATAATGAAGACAAATGGGATTGAAATAGCAAAAAAGGAGTTTTAGTCCATTTAACTTTCTACACTATTTTCTTAATAAGTAGTTGTCGCACCCAAATTCATCACCTGGATTACCAAGCAAATTATGACCAATAAATTATGTGTTTACTTACCAGTTGACTGAATTGGATCGACCTCAATTAAATTTTTAATTCAAGTTCAAAAAATTAAAAATCCTACATGATATTAGATAGTTTAGACGAGAAAGATAAAAGGTAGAATTTGAATAACCCATGTACTCCTCCTGTCAAGGACATTTCTGTAAACTTATCAATTAGAAGTATTAAGCGTATGTGCCGTCACATACCCAACCGCACGGATTTATAATTAGAAAGCGGTTAGGTTCTTCATGACTGATTTAATTCTCAACCCGCACTTGGCCCGCTCCTACCGTCCACCCCCCCCCCCCCCCCCCCCCCCCCCCCCCCCCGCCTGATCAATTTACTTTTGCTTTGGCCTTCAAATACACAATCCACAATGTACTGCTCTGGCCACAGTTTTCTTATTCAAAGCCGACTTCAACACTGATGATGATTTACGCAATGCGAACTCCCACGTGTAGAAGCAGCGACCAATCAGGAAACTCTCTAAGATTAAAGCCACTCTTCTATATTGATTCCTCCCCTGCTTTGCTTAACACTCGCGTTTTTAAGCTACCCTTGTTTAAAAAAGGTGAATATTATAAACTAACACAGAGGTGGCCAAATGAATGAAAGCGCGTCGCTCTATGAGTAAGCTAAGTAAATCAATAATCGAAATATCTAAAATCGAATTTAAGGCTGCGTGTATGAATAAGGCATTAGTTAAAAATCATCTAAACAACTACCTTCAAGAAAATCAGTTCAATGCATAAGTGTGCATTCCTTTAACAAGTCAGAGAACGCTAAAAAGTTCAGATAGTCCCATTTAATTAAGTAATGCGCGCATAAAATAAAACAATTAGTTATTACACGCTAACAATGTTAATCAACCTCAAGAGCATGGTAGGAATCAGCGAATTGGGGGTTTGCAAAGCGTAAAAAAAATAAATCATTTCAAAAAGGCAACCATCGTATAAAAAACCAGTGAAGAAATGTGAGTGACATAATTTGATCAATATGTTATGGGTATTAATAGGAAATCACGACTTTGAAACAACTTTAGAATGCTATTCACTTCTAACTTGCGCATGTGATAGTGTACAAAAGAGTGAGACCAAGGCTAAAGGAGTATCGCGTCTGGATATAGAAAGCGAAATGATAATTAAATTTTCGTCAAGAGGCAGTAAATAGAGAATATTACGGATTAAAGCACATTGAACATTCAACAAATCGCAGGAATTAATGAAAGTGTTCAATGTGAATTTTGATGCACAACTCAGCACATCCAGAAATTTTTTCCCAAAAGTGATGCCAACTCATTTAAGTTCGAATTCGACAGCAATTTTGTCGTTTGTGTAGACTTTAGGCTCCAATGTGTGCACGTGTGATCGCTTCAGCATACTCTGGTGTGTAGTTTGCTGGACGTGAACAGTGAGGATGGACGTCTGGTGGATTTCCGTGGACGTCTTAACAGAGTCTCGTGATCATGATGAATATTTTTCGGTGAGTGAACCGTTTGGCGTTTGAAGTTAGTGAGTGAAATTGTGGCCCTATATCTGACCATTATTTTCTGGACAGCACTTTTAGGAGAACTAACTGTCTGGGGATATTTTGAGATGAGCCAGTCACTTAACGATACAATAATTTTCCACAATAGGCACCCTTTGTTCGATTGAAAAGGGCATTCTGCTGGACTGTATTCACTACCATTATGCCCAAGAGACAACGCAGCACCGATTGCTGTACAGTTAACACAAAATAGCCATTGAACATCACGTGGCCCCATGCAGCGTTCAGCATCACTTGTAATGTGGTACAGGCCAAAGTACTTCTTTTGTCTTGGCCAGTAAACATAATTTCCCTCACTACTTATGTAGTTTCTGATGTCCTTTAAAAAATCGCCCGTTTTGGAATTAAAATAATGGTTCGACCGTAGTCGCATTTGAAAATCATTTATCCCACTGAGAATGCTCCACTCACTCGAAGAGGTGCTTATCGTCTGGGGTGAGGTCTGTTGAATCCTTGCGACGTGATAGAACCTTCTTATTTAATTCCCTCATTTTGTGAGATCATTCTTGCTTTGTTGGATCAGGCAAACCCTGTCATGCTAACAAATAATTCCTTTTCTCTTAACTATACTTGTAGTTAATCTTTTACTTTCTGATTTAATTTCCTCCGTAGTTGATAATAAACGGTGACTGTAAATGTTTCCATTGTTTTAATCATTGCTAATGGGTTATTTCATGAACATGCCAATAAAAATTTTAGGCAAGTTTCCAATGGCCATTTCTAGTTTGGTTTAGGGGATGTGGAGGCAACCACTCATTTATTCCACGAGCGTTGTTATAAACAATCCCCTTCTCTGCCCCAATACCACGTAGTCGTAAAAGGACGGTTGAGATGCATTATTCCAAAATTGATTTCCCCAGACTCTAAGTACTCGACCATAAATTTCAAGACATAGATCAAAGAATAGCATCCACCAATTTCTGACATTTGTCTCTGTCTGCTTTAGGGAATTAACACTTTTTACCTTTGACAATAAAATAAAACTTACTGCTTATTTCTATTGTTGAACAGTTCATTCGACTAAGAAAAAATTTCACAGATTTGTTCACCCCCCCCTCACCGTGTCCTGCTAGTACCCATAAAATATTTCCTTTAAAATTTTAGCCAATTTACTAACTAGCTTCCCAGTCGTATTCTTGATGTCCTACTTAGGCATTTGCCCTGACTAATCGCTCATTATGTGGACCTGGTGCGTACCAATTCTAAATGATATTTCCAAGTCAAGAACAAACGAATGCCAAGTACCGATAATAACATAGGGTAACATTGAATAGGCGGAATAATTAGGGAAATCATCAGATGTAGGAACAATGGAAATATGGCAAAATAACGAATTCCTCTTGCAGAGACGTTATCATGAGAATGCGAAATCAAAATCCATCTCATTGGGGCGTAGAATATCAAAAAATAGACATCTAAATAGCGACGGTTGCTGATATGATCTCTGCATGGTGCTATATCTGGTGGGAAGCGAAACAGCTGAAAAAATGGGTAAATAATTGTTCAAATAGTTCGATTTATAGCGCCAATCTACCAAACGACAATGTTAAGTGTCTTAAGAACTGCAGTCCATCCCATTTACATTTCCATCATATAATACAAATAAAGTTGATTTAACACTAATTATATCGAAGTGCAGATTAGAGAAAACTAATGAATTGTACGTGTGACCTTTTTGCATTTGAGAAGAGTTCGAAAAAAAAACAACGAATCAGGAGGAAGAGTAAAAATAACGAAATACTTTGCTCATTAATAATACTTCCATCGAATTTACAACCAATTAGATAAGCGGTTGTGTAAGGAAATCGATCACTTTCCTCCAAATGCGTGTATTCAGACGAAAGTGGCCATCAGAATTTTCAAATAAAGAAAAAACAGTAGCTACCTGATGGAAGTCTAATGTAAACACTACCCTAAAATCCAAAGGAAATAAACTCGAACATGTCGAGTTATTCTTGATTGCTTTAAGTGAATTGGAAAAAAAGAAAGGTATGTATCAACCATTATCAAATGATGCGTGATCGGTTTCAAGGAAAACCGAGAGTACTTTTTTTAAATTAATTTCAGATTTAGGGAGGAAAAAAGTTAGTCGATGGAAATTAATTAATTAACTGTTTATTTGTATTCAACCCAATACATGCCACATTTGTAATGATGAAATGATTACCTCTAGAGTATATTAATTAGATAGTTAGTTAAATGAATAATATAATGATTAAATAATATCATAGGAGATTTAGCGGCATGAAACAAAAAATAACATTGAGGACAATTCAGATTGGAATGGGTGTGTAAACAGAGACCTGGTAATAAAGTGGAGGATGGGCAAAACACTAAGACAGAACATTAAAAACTGATTTCATAAGAGCGCAATTTTCATAATGAGTTAGGGAATGTCATATAATCGAAATGCTCATTATAAAGATTTACTCTTTGAGATGGTGACTTCTGTTGTCGACCGCGACCAGGTTTAGGTGGAGACTTTTTGTCACGATTAGGACGCTGATGAGGTGACGTCTGTGTGGTATCAACAGTGGCCATTGAAGAGGTAGAAGGTGACTGAGAGTCCGCAATCTGAAAACGAGGTAAAGTGAATATCGAATACTTCACGTCTCTTTCCCAGAGTCTCGGGCATTTTCAATAGCCTATATTGTTCACGTGCCACCCAAGTTATAGTTGAAATTCAAATGTTGCTATTCATGCCAAAAGTAATCATATCGAATTTCAAGCGGGGTTCAATCAAACGTAAAGCGCAGTCCCTTAGTTAAGGAGTTACTTCCTATTGTCAGGTATTGCCCTTATCACGTGTTTTTCAAGAATAGAGTAGATATAGTCATTCATTATGTCAGTTCAAAATGTTCCGTTGTATATTTTGATGCCATTATTAGGTTAAATTAATACTAATTTGTTAATTGCCATTGTAAATAACACAGTGGTATAGATTTATCATAAAATGATAAAGGTTTATTAAAATGGGGGGGGGGAGGGATTTTCAAACACTAGAGCTTTAAAGACTTGGACTACTATATTTCCCGCTAGTAATTTAGTACGTTTTTAGTTGTCTGTTAGAAGCCGCTTCATTAGAGATCACACTTTTTTCATTGGAAACAAATTAAATGGTAACGAAGGTAAAAATATTAACCAACGGCCATTGAGCTGATAAATATGCTTGCTTCAACACATTTGCGGGACACTTCATCAGTGACCAAATAGAAATCCTGCTATAGAATACTACTCAGAAATATTTAGCTATTAAAGTTCAAACGAATTATGCCAGAGTTATCAGATAACTAATCGCTTTGCCAAAACTACACACTTTTTGCTATCAATATACGTATCGAATAAACGTATTCCGTGCTACACGTCTGTTTCCCATATAGCTGGGCTATAGCTTAGCTTGTTCTGGGAGTCTAGCTAGATGTTGGAGAATCTGCCATAGAGCTTTCTGAGTCGGTCAGGCTTTACTAGCGTAAAGATCCGCTACACATTCATGTGT